AAACTTTGTCTTAATCTGATAATTGTTCCTGAATTTTATTAACTAGAAAATTAGATATATTCTCATTACATATTTTTTTATAATAGTCAAACTATAACCTATATCCTTTTTCAAAATAATATATATATATCACTTCTAGAATAGTTTTTTTATTATCATCTTCAGTATTGATGATCTTATCATCTAGTTCACAAAAATTAACCAAGTTAATATTCATATTAGAAAATATATATAGGAAAATAATATTACTAAAAAAACTTTGCTGTAGAATTGAAGCAGACAATTCCTTGATAAGCTTTTTCAAAATGAGTAAATTTTTTCTTTTAACTGCTTTCTTTGCTTTCTTCTTTAGTATAAATAAGTTGATATTTATATTTTTATTAGAACATTTTTTACTACTGATATCAGGTTGTTTTTTATTATTAATGCTCATTTCTTCTTTCTCTTTTAGTTTTATATCAGCTGATAGGCATATAGAACATAGTTTTCATAGATTATCAATACAATTGTAATAAATAATATGTTTGCAGATTAAGTATATGAGTGGTTTTAAGAACTTTAAGGTTGAGAAGAGAACTAAAGAAAGCCTATAGATGAGAGACATAAAAAAAGATTTTTAAAACATTTGGTGCATCTCAAATTACTTTTAACTTGTTAGATTGCTATACTCTCAATCCTTTTCATTTATACAGATAATAAAGATAAAGCAAATATTTCACTTATCAAAAATGAAATTTTATTTAATTAGAAAGTTTCTTGAAATTATAAAATAGCAAATCAAAAAAAATATCAAGGGTATCAGCTTGATCTAAAATTTTTATATTACTCCATAACTCAGAGATAGACATGTGTTTGAAACAGTAAGTAAAAGCTTTTTTTGATACAAATTCTATAAAAGACATACCTACAAGATAGTGCTATGAATGTTTTGAGAGAATGTAAAATAATTTCTTTTTTATATTCTGAACAATTACTTAGATCTGAAATTTTTTTACTCTTAATAATGCTATTTTTTAAAGTTTTTAAAATATTATATATAAGATTTTTGATATTAATAATAAGAATAAATAGTGCAAAAAAAGTGGTAAATATATTTTAATTACAACTAGATAAGTTTTATATAACAAAATTCCTTATACTTAGTTTATTAATATAGTTTATTCCTTATAGCTACAAACCTAATTTGTAGATTTTTTTTAAAAAGCTAATTTTGGATTCAGTAATTTATTTATTTGTAAATTTTTTAGTATAGAGAGGAATCACTCAATCTTCGTTAACAATCATAGATAAAATTTTAGCTGAGATAACTAATATCAAACAATTTAACTTAGATTTAAAATAATCTTATTTATCTGTCTCTAGATACTAGATACTAGCTTCACTATTATAGTCTTGAATATTACCAAATTTGTATGATATAGACCATACACTTTTTTGTACAATTAGAATATTTTTGATACTTCTATTTTAGTTTATCACTATTCTATACTAATCTATTGAGTTAAAATTATACTAATCATTGTTTGCTTTCTGATTTGGTAAACAACTATCTTATAAAGCCTCTGAGATCACAAAGGATTTCTAGACTATATGTTTATAAAACTATTTATATTAAAATTAATTCAAACATTTATTATTAACTATCTTATGATCCCACTATCAGCTATTTTAATATATAAATTGATTCTAGAATATTCTTTACTATGTTATAAATTGATTTTCATATTTGATAAAATCTGAGACTATATTATTAGTATACTGTTCTTTAATTAACCTATTTTTTTCTAATACAGTATTTGAAAAAAATCGATGATGATGATGAAATATTAAACCATTATATAAATAACATAATACTTATTTTATTAAATATCGAAACTATAACTGATGTTAATGAGGCAAGCTGCTATGAATTTATTTCAATTATCTTATATGCATCTCTTTCAATTGCTCAGAAACAAACCAAAGAAGAAAAAGTTTATGTATCCTTAAAAAAATATTTCTGGTGAAGATGCAACTGGTCATGTTAATAATGCAATTAAAGAAAGAAGAACCTTATATACATTGCTAAGAGAAAACTACATAATATCAAAATTAGTTATTTCTAAAACATCAGACAACTAAAAGTGTGTATTATACTAATAAAGATAATAGAAAGTGAACTGCAGAACAAGCCTTTAATAATGATAAATATAACTATCTTTACAGAATTATTACTACAAGTATATTTGTAAAGCAGGACACTTTGTATCTAATTTTTTATAACAATAGTATTATGTCTTTAATTCATATATATCTTATTCAAGGGTGTGGTGACTTAGTGAAGTGGTGAAGTTGTTGCACCCCCAAGTGGCAAGACCAGAGTTCGAATCCCACCAGTGACAAAAAATTCGAATTCTCAGTATAGTGTTACAGCAACTGTGAGTGTAAAGACAGATCAACATCTGTAACTAGATTACACCAGCTCGTACTGAGAGATTGTGGAACAATAGTGTAATATACGAGTTATACGAAACTCGAGTGAAGCAGTTGTGTAAATTCGAGGTCAGCGCACATAGAAGCCTGCTTGGCAAGACCCGAGTAGAGAGATAGCACAGATTTTCAATGGTACTACATAAAAATTATTAACCAGAAAACCGGAAAACTGAACAGGACCAAAGTGTTTGACAAGACATTCCACCAACCAGGCTGCCAGAGAGTAACCAGAGAAAAAGAACCCAATCATGGGGACCAGAAGCAGGTCATAGCCCTTCTGGGCCATCTGAATTAAAAGTTTGGGATAACAGATGTACAGAGGATAGTCTGTATAGTGGATACTGGGGTTTGGGTGAACTCTACAAGGGCGGTAGTAGATAACAGTAGTGGCTTTGGCTCGCAAGTACTTGTTCTCGGACTCGGTGTAAGTTACTGAAAGTCTAGGTCAGCTGGATTTGTGGATATGGAAGGCTCTAGCAGGTTTACCTTGAGGATGAAAGGTTCAATAAGAGCCTGCTTTAAAGTCTTAAGTGGGGTGTCTGAAAATAAGGGGGTACTGTATATTCTTGCTCGATTAGATGATTAATATACATAGATGCGATCTCATTGTACAAGAAATCTGCATCAGCTTTTTCCATGGCCAAAGTCTCAGACCACTTCATCATGTAGTCTACAGCGACAATAATGTAACGTTTTTGTCTTGAGGTTCTTGGGAGTGGGCCAACAAACTCGACACCAACTTGATGGAATGGCACAGTCACAGAGATGGGGCATAAGGGTCCAGGTATTTTAATTTTTCCTCTTTGCTGACATTGTTCGTATTTTTGAACATAGCTTCTTATATCAACGTACATTTGGGGCCAAAAATATATATCCCTTATCTTGTTGAACATAATATCTTTGCTAAAGTGGTCTCCCATCGGGTGCTGGTTTGTTAAGAACAAAATCGGCTCAAGTTCGTATTTTTGGATCACAAGCAACAGACGACCGGGCTTCCTTCTGTCTTTTTTATAGAGTATCCCATCTTTGTATTCATAGAATTGTACTTTTTTTGTAGTTTTTTCTTTTTGTTGTGGTCAAGGTTCGATGGTAGCTTTCACGTTTATAAGTAAGTTTTCAGGTAGTTGTAATGCGTATGATCCATATTTATTTATGCATTATAAATATATATATATATATCTATTCTTTTTTTTTTTTTTTTTTTTTTTATTGGGGGGGCCAGGACACTGGAACTTGGACTGGATTCTGTTCCTCGGGTTTAAAGCAAGTTTCTTTCTCTTTTTTTTTTTTTTTTTTTTTTATATTATTATTTATTTTATTTTATTTTTTTTGTTGGGTGTCAAATTCGGGATAACGCATCCGCATTACTATGTTTTCATCCACTACGATGGTGGATTGTAAAATCGTAAGGTTGCAAGCAAGCATCCATCGAGCATGGCTATCAGTAAGTTTCGAGATTTTCAGCCATTTCAAGGCACTGTGGTCAGTAACAACGATGAACGGGTTCAAGCCATAGTAGTAGTGGTAATGTTCTACTGTCCATAGGACAGCCAAACATTCCAACTCAGTCGTAGCATAATTTTTCTCAGGGGGCGTTAGTCCTCAACTGCATACGAGATTATGAATTCCTTTCCATCGTCGTCCTTCTGTGCAAGCACTGCACCAAGTCCAGAACCAGAGGCATCGGTATGAATATAAAAGGTCTTCGAAAAATCGGGGTATCTCAGAATCAGGGCCATAATCAGGTGACGTTTCAATGTCTCAAAGGCATGGTCTTGGTCTTTTTCCCATGTATACTCAACATCCTTTCTCAGCAGATGGTATAGGAGGCGAGCAATCATGGTGAAACTTTTAATAAATCACCAGTAGTACAACGACAAACCCAGGAAACCGCACAATTGTTGAAGGTTCTTTGGGATTAGAAAATTCTTCACTTTCTCTATTTTTGCTTCATCGGGCTTGATTCCATCGTGGCTAACAACGTAACCAAGAAAGTGGATATCTGGGTAGAAAAAGGTACACTTTTTATAGTTTAGTTTTAGGTTAGCTTCCCTTAGCTTATTAAAGACTATGCTAATATGATTCAAATGTTCATTGAAAGATTCAGAGTATATGTTTATATCATCCAGGTATACAACGACGAACTTGCCAATATAGTCAAACAGGATCTTGTTCATCAATCGTTGAAAACTGGTGGGGGCATTACACAGGCCGAATGGCATAATGTTAAACTCATACGTCCCGAAAGAGGTAACGAACGCTGTTTTTTCTTTATCCTTTTTATTGATGGGCAATTGCCAGTAGCCACTTAACAAATCCAACATACTAAACCACCTTGCTTTAGAAAACATTTCCAGGAGATCATCTATACAGGGTAAAGGATATGCATCCTTTTTCGTCACCGTGTTCAACTTACAATAATCAATGCATAGCCTCAATTTACCGCCTTTTTGGGCACAACCACGATTGGGGAGGACCAGGAGCTTTGGGACTCACGTATCAACCCACATTCCTTCAACTGAGTTATTTCATTCTTTATGAACTCTTGAACACCGAGGCAGCTCTACATGCCTTTTGTTTAATAGGACAGCGTCACCCGTGTCAATCATATGGTTGGTTCGGTTGGTGTATCCAAGTTCTTCAACGGTTTGTACAAAAACATCTTTTTCCTTCTTTAGCATTTCTTTAGCCTCCTTTTGTTGCTCATCATTTAATTCTTTACTGACATCCATCTTGCTGATTTTCTCTTCCAGGTCTTTCGTTTCAGATTCAACAGGGGTTGTGAGCAATTCTTCAACATGGGACAGGTATGCTGAGGGGCTTTGTACGTCTTGCCAGGGGTTAGCAAAAATTCGGCGTCTTCATCACTCATTGCTTCTTCAGAAAAGAAACCTTCCGTTCCCTCTACTTCTTCCTCATAGACCAATTGATCAAACATATCATTCTCATCACCAACAAAACCTTCGAGATCGACCTTTTCCTCAGGTTGGTACAATTTCTTTGATCTATTGTTTGAGATTGAAACTTCGATGATCTTTCTTAAATACCTCAAGATCATTTTTTGTTCATCAAAATGTATATGGGCCTGAGCCCTTTCAAACCAATCATTACCCAACAAAAGGGTTTCGTCGACCAATTCAATTACCTGAAGTGGACTGGAGATGGGTACATCTTGAACCGCAATTTTGGCACTTTTAACTTTTCACAGCGTTCTTGTTTGAACACCCGTCGCAGTTACTATAACTGTGGTAGACCTTTCTTCAATCTTCAGACCAAGTTTATCCATTAATTTCTTTGTAATGAAGCTGGCAGTAGCGCTGGAATCCAAAATTGCAACTACAGGATTATTCCTGATTCTTATATAACACCTTGCTGCGGTAGTTCTCTTTTCACCAGCATTGACATAGTGGGTTTCTTCTGTTAATAGGGGCCTTCGAAGGGCTTTTGCCAAATTCCTATGTTGGTTGGGGTACTGTAATATTTGTCCAACCGTAGCACTTGAAGGTTTAGTCAAAATATCATCAGTGATATTGTACGGGGCTAACAAATCAATTACCGACAGTCCTCGTTTCCTCCTTGGGGCTCTAATGGGAGCAGCAGCATCATTATATTGCATTAAATCATCGTCATTGATTAGTGGGTAAGTTTCTCTAGTTTCCCTTGGTTGAATATTAACATTGTTTCTATTTCTTAAACGCCCTTCTCATTGTGATTCAGAGTTTGGTGGGCGGTTATTGTTCTGTCGTTGGTAGGGCTGATACCTTTCTCCTGCGAAGACTTCCCTTTCAAGATCATAGTCATCATCGACGTTGCCATAATTGGCTTCAACCTCACATCTCAGAGTGTGACTTGGCTGGGCTGATCTTCTTTCGGAGAGAACTGGGGCTTCTCTTTCGGTCAGACATTCTCTTGCATAGTGGCCTTTTTCACCACACTTGTAACATGTAACCGTTGTGGACACTCTGGCTGGGGCCTCATTCTTGGATTATTAGCTTCAGCTTGGGTTGTCAACAGAGCGGCAAGTTTATTGTAGCCGATCTTCATTTCTTGGATTTGTTGCGCCAACTGATTCATATTACCCTCCCAATTATTATCGCTTTTTCCCCTTTTTCCTACAGCGACGTTTCTATAATAACTTCCAGCTTCGATTTTTTTAGCTGTAGAGATGGCATCATCCAGGGTTTCAGGGTCTTTTACCAACACTAACGATGCTACGTTACCTTGTAAACCTCCAATGAATATTCGTATGACGTATTCTTTGGGCAGAGCTTTTCCAGGTGCAACCCTTTTCAGCAATTTCTTGAATTTGTAGGCATACGTTCCTACACGTTTACCTTCTTTTTGAACCAAAGAGTTCAATTCGACTTGCCATTGATGCTTTCTTTCAGGGGTTGCAAAGTGCGTTAAAAATATCGGTACAAAGCTTCCATCTTGTACATACTCCTCATCCCAATACAGAAACTTTTCCTTATTATCGTAGAACCAGTCTGCAGCGATTCCAGCAAGGTAACCAGAGGCGATCCTAATTTTCCTTTTAGCGATCCAGTTATTCATGTCAGCAGCTCGTTCGAAGGCTTTAATCTATTCGTAAGGATCTTCATCATCATCTCCATAGAACGTTCTAACTCTAACCCAATTATTTTCACGAGTTTCAGGTCGTGCGTCATTAACAGCTCCTAAGGTTGCATCTCGGAAGGCACTTGCTATTTCCCTTAAAATAGTATTAACTTGGTCTTGATTTATTTACAGGTCTCTTCCTTGTTCGGTTGTTTGATTACTTTCATCGTTTGGTGTGTTAAGTAGGTCATCCATCTTTTCTTTAGTTTTATTTCCATTCTGTTGTTTGTTGTGTTTGTTGTTTGTTTCTCTTTCTTTTTTTTTTTTTTTTTTTTTTTTGTAGTAAAAATTCCTTCTCTTCTTCTTTTTTTTTTTTTTTTTTGTGTTGTTATTATTTGTGCACGGGTTATAAGGCTATTTGTTGTAAACTTGAGACTTGGAAGAAAAAGGTAAAAAAAATTGTATCGTCAGGTGAGCCTACTTTTATATGGCCTGATTTGATTAATAATCTTGAAGTTTATTTGTTGATCTTTCGTCACTTATACTTTGATGTTAGTGAAGTTTGGTCAATTTTAATTTATACTTTGTAATTAAAATATTAAGTAATAGTGAGCAATTTATAATGTAATTAATTGCGCAAGTCACAAATTTGATATAAAAAAAAAAAAAATTTATTTTTTTTATTTTTTTTTTTTTTTGCGTTAGTAAAAATCTCAGAAAAGTTCTACCGGGGTCCAAGTTTGGGACCTAAAACTTTTACACTTTCTTTGCAGGCAAGTATACTGTATTTATTATAGTTTTTTTTTTTTTTTTTTTTCTTTCGACGTTCTTCCTAATCAGTCTTTCCTTCTTTCAACACCTTCGTATGTCTTTAACGTTGGAGTAAGTATTTCTTCTGTCTCTTCCTTTCCTTTTTGTTACCAGATGTACATTCGATCTCACAGTCACCACCAAAAATGTAATGGCGTAGATATAACGGGGAACGTCGAGGCAACTCGAATCGAGGCGCGGAGAATTTGGCGAATAAGTTTTTGCTGTATTTTTTTTTTTTTTCTTTCTCTCTTTTTTTTTTTTTTTTTTTTTTTTTTTGCTACTACTAACTTTAATGCTTCTATATCGACCACCAACAACTTAATAACTAACACCCTACAACACAAA